CTATTTGTCTATCTTTGTTCTAGTACTACAATGTCTTAAATACCACAGCTTTAAATTAAGTGTTAATATTTGACAGGGTAAACCCCCAGTTTTGCTTTTCTTCTTTAGGATTACTTTGGTTCTTCTTGACTCTTTGCATTTCTTTTTATTTTTTGTAAGTTATTTTTATTGAGACGGGGTCTTCCTATGTTGCCTAGGCTGGTCTTGAACTCCTGGGCTCAAGTGATCCTCCCTCCTTGGCCTCTCAAAGTGCTGGGACTATAGGCATGAACCACCAAGCCCAGCCAACCCTGCATTTTCATACACACTTAAATCTCATAGTTCAATTAAAAAAAAAATTGTTACACTGAGCGTGGGGGCTGAGCGTGGTGGCTCACGCCTATAATCCCAGCACTTTGGGAGGCTGGGGTGGGCAGATCAGTTGAGCTCAGGAGTTCGAGACCAGCCCGGGCAACATGATGAAACCCTGTGTCTACAAAAAATACAAAAATTAGCTGGGCTTAGTGGCACGTGCCTGTGGTCCCAGTTACTCTGGAGGCTGAAGTGGGAGAATCACTTGAGCCCAGGAGAGGCAGAGGTTCTAGTGAGCCGAGATCGCACCACTACATTCCAGCCTGGGTGACAGAGCGAGACCTTGTCTCAAAAATAAATAAATAAAATTGGGGAAGGGACAGAAGTTAATACAAACCTATGTAAAATAGAATTCAAAGAGTACAAAGCAGGTGAGGAGTGAAAAATCATTTTCCTTCCTTCCCTGGGTCTTTCATTTTCTTTTTTCAGAGGCCACCATCCTTCCAGAAATGTCTACGCGTATACAAGCACATCCTTGCTCTTTCTTTAACAAAGAGTAGCATATTGTACACGTTGTTCCGTAGCTTGTTTTTTTCCTCCTAATATATCTTGTAGACCTTGCTATTTTAGTGGTTGCCTGGGATTCTTTTATGACATCGATAATCTTTTTAACTTGGCCCAAATTAGGTTGTTTCAGTCTTTGTTCTCACTACAAGCAATGCTGCGCTGACTTTCTTGGACCTGCGTTTTTGATGCACAGCCATTTGTAGGGTAAATTCTTAGAACTGGACTTAGCAATATCTCATTGTCTGGCTGCAGTGTTGGGCTTCTGCATACAATTCTTTTTGAAGTCTGAAGACCCTGGATTTGAGGCTCCTTGAGGACCCTTCTGTTCTAATAGTCTGTGGCTCTAAGTTGAGTCCTAGATTATGGTTATCTAATTTTGAGTTCTATTCACAGACCCTAGACTCTTTTTGTCTTTCTAAGCTCAGACCCCAGTCCTGAGACCCTGAACCCAAGTTCCTCAGTCTTGAAATTAGAGATCAGCTTGGCATAGTGAAGGAACAGGATTCAGAGTGCACAGTGACTGGGTTGTGAAGCCCAGCTCTGCCCCGTCTCCCTTCCCACTGCCCTGCTTCAGCTGGGTGGCCTTGGGCTAGATTCTTTACCTCTCTGAGCCTTGGTTCTATCTTCTGTATGTCAAGGGGACTGTATGGGAGCCAGGCCCTTGTCTCTAGGATTCTCGATTTCTGATTCTCCAGCTTTGATACCCAGCCTGGGTCCCTCACCTCTGTCTGGCTTCTCCCATATCCACTGTCTGATTCTGTCCACTTGAGCTCAGTCTAGCACAGAGTTTAAGAGGGGAGCTTTGGAATCAGACCAACTTGTCCTTCTCAGACACTTACTACTTCACTTCTCTGGACCTCAGCATCCTCATCTCTAAAAGAGAGGTAATAATACTGCCCTCCCACGCTGACAGAATTGCTGTCACACAGCAAGCCCACAAGAAATGCTGGCTGCTGCCGCTATTATTAGTATTATCTCACATTCTTGTTCCCAGTTCCACAGTTTTGGTTCTGGAAAGGCAGCTTGATAGAGAATCACTGACTGCCCTCCATCCCATCATCGTGTAGCTGTAGGGCTCTGTGGGGTCCTGGAGTCCAGAGCCTATGACCTGGCCACATAGTAGGAGATTCCATCACTGTGTGACAAACCACCCAGAACCCAGAAACTGAAAGAATAGCAGTTGATTATTTTGCATGATTCCATGGGTCAACTCAGTGGCTCTTTGGCTGGTCTCACTTGGGCACACTGTGGCAGCATTCAGCTGCTGTCCAGACTGGACTGGTAAGTGAAGAATGACTGTGGATGCTGGCTGTTGGCTGGCACGCCTTGGTTCACTCACCCTCCAGGAGGCCAGCCTGGGCTTCCTTAAATGGGGGCTGCTCTGAAGGCTGAGGCTCTGGAATTCACACAGCATCACTTCTGCCACATCCAATTGGCCAAAACAAGTCATAAGGCCAGCTCAGACCAAGGAGTCTGGACCCAGGGATAAATGGACCCCATCTGCTAACGAAGAAGCAGCACAATATTGTGGCCACATCTACCATGGAGCTCAGTAATTGTGTGTTGAATGAATGAGAGGTGACAGAGGTCACTTAACCACTTTGAGCCTCTGTGTCCACATGTGTAAAAGGAATCTACTCATGCCCATTTCAATGTAAAGTCGCCATGAGAAATTAAAATGATGTAATTGAGAGAATGCACAGCACAGGTTCTCAATGCACAATAACCACTGTGGATATTTTATTTTATTTATTTGTTTGAGAGAGTCTCACTCCATCACCCAGGCTGGCCGGCAGTGGCACAATCTTGGCTCACCGCAACCTGAGCATCTGGGACTCTACCTTAGCCTCCCGAGTAGCTGAGACTACAGGTGCACACCGGCACGCCCAGCTAATTTTTGTATTTTTTATAGAGACGGGGTTTTGCCACGTTGCCTAGGCTGGTCTTGAACTCCTGGGCTCAAGCCATCCACCTGCCTTGGCCTCCCAAAGTGTTAGAATTACAGGCTTGAGGCACTACACCTGGCTCATTGTGGATATTTTAACCAAAGCTCTTTCCTGGGTCTTCCCTAAGTCCTAAGTCCTTTTGTTCATTAGTCCAAAGTGACATTGTACAACCAGCCATTTAGACAATAACTGTGTCCAGATAAGTTTCCCACTTGTTACCATCTTTACATGCCTTGTCTTCCTAGCACTTAGACCATCCTTTCTGCTTTTGTGTTTCTTTTTTTTTTTTTTTTTTTTTTTTTTAGTAAAGACGGGGTTTCACAGTGTTAGCCAGGATGGTCTCGACCTCCTGACCTTGTGATCTGCCCGTCTCGGCCTCCCAAAGTGCTGGGATTACAGGCTTGAGCCACCGCGCCCGGCCCGCTTTTGTGTTTCTTTGGCACAATGGGGTCAGTAAAGTTTGCTCAAACCCCTCAGAAATAAGCATCAACGTGGCAAACTGACTGTAGGTCAGAGAGTGCAAACTAGAAACTGTGTTTGTTTTGGCCTGCAGAACATTTAATAATAATCGGTATTAGAATTTGAATTGGTTGCTGTATTAGTTCGTTTTCATACTGCTGTAAAGATCTGCCCAAGACTAGGTAATTTATAAAGGGAAGAGGTTTAGTTGACTCACAGGTTCAGCATGGCTGGGAAGGCCTCGCGAAATTTACAATCATGGTGGAAGGCAAAGGGGAAGCAAGGCACCTTCTTCACAAGGCAGCAGGAGAGAGATGTGCTGAGTGAAGGGGGAAGAGCCCCTTATAAAACTATAAAACTATCAGATCTTGTGAGAACTCACTATCACGAGAAGAGCATGGGGGAAACCGCCCTCATGGTTCAGTTACCTCCACCTGGTCTCTTCCTTGACATGTAGGGATTATGGGGATTACAATTCAAGGTGAGATTTGGGTGGGGACACAAAGCCTAACCATATCAGTTGCTAACATTTATTTTATTTTATTTTATTTTATATTATTTTATTTTATTTTAGAGACAGAATCTTGCTCAGTTGCCCAGGCTAGAGTGCAGTGGTACAGTCATAGCTCACGGCAGCCTCAAACTTGGGCTGAAGCAATCCTCCTACCTCAACCTCCCAAAGCACTGGGATTTCAGGCATGAGAGTTACTAACATTTATAATCAGGAGATTTTACAAAACAATCTTAGGTTTCCAAATTCTCTTGAAATTGCACCGTCTGGGTCAGGTGCGGTGGCTCACGCCTGTAATCCCAGCACTTTGGGAGGCTGAGGCGAGCGGATCACTTGAGGTCAGGAGTTCAAGACCAGCCTGACCAACATGGTGAAACCCCGTCTCTACTAAAAATATGAAAAAAAAAAAAAATTAGCCGGGCTTGGTGGCAGGTACCTGTAATCCAAGCTACTTGGGGGGGTGAGGCAGGAGAGTCACTTAAACCCAGGAGGTGGAGGTTGCAGTGAACTGAGATTGCGCCACTGCACTCCTGCCTGGGTGACAGAGTGAGATTCTGTCTCAAAAAAAAAAAAAAAAAATGGCACCATCTGTCATCTTCAGCCTCCCTCCCTCATGGGGCACTGGGCTGGAGCTAAACCCTGGTGAAGGATACTCTCTTGGACCCATTGGTGGCTCATGAAGTTGGTTTGGTGAGTCATTACCGGACATGTGGAAAGATGAAGTATAGCAGAACAGAAAATATCAGTGTATTGCCCGTAGTTACTAGGGCAAGGACTGTTCTGTGGAATTAAGTCTAGTTATGTGTGTTCATGTGTGGGTGACTTGGGTTGCAGGGTAAAATGTATCTTTTACTGTGAGTTGTAATACGAAATCTGAAAGCCCCTGATCCACTTTGGCACAAGCTCTACCTAGTCTGACTCACTCTAAAGTTACCTCCTCCCTCGTACGCATTTGAGCTTGGGACCAATGAGTGTCAGGTTGGCTGCTGGAGATTAAAATGGCTCCCTGCAATCTGCTAGGGACTGGCAGTGCCCATGTGTTTTTCCCTGGCTTTCAGGTCTATTCCCCACTCTGAGCATTTGTAAGTGAGAAATGTGTACTATGAATAAATCATCCCTGCTCAGCAAGCAGATTCCTGCTCTACCTGCCTGGTCCGGGCTCTAGGATCCCCAACCCAGCTCCTAGACACCCAGTCTCTGACCCCTGCTCTCTTCTGCCCACCCAGGAGAACCCGTACGTCATGCGGCGGCCCAACTTCCAGGCCTTGTCAGGGAATGAACGCTTCGAGGGCTTCTGCGTGGACATGCTGCGGGAGCTGGCCGAGCTGCTGCGCTTCCGCTACCGCCTGCGGTTGGTGGAGGATGGGCTGTACGGGGCGCCCGAGCCCAACGGCTCCTGGACAGGCATGGTTGGCGAGCTCATCAACCGGGTACGGCTGGGCTGGGGCTGGGGAAGAGGCATGGACCCGGCGGGTGAGGGAGGGCAGGCAGCTGGGCAGCCAGTCAAACCTTAGAAGCAGTCGAACCTTAGAACCTTAGAAGTCGAACCTTAGAATTTGGCCGGTGGCAGAAGTGGAAGGAGCCATGAAGGGCTCCTCAGACCACCTCACTGATGTTGTGCTGTATGCCTGTGCCTGGCGGGTGCCATGGGATGGGACAGAGGAGGAGAGGTGGTACATGCATCGAGAGGTGGTACATGCATCACCACCTGTGTCCTGCTTTGCCAAATGCCCCTGTCTTGCCACCTTGGATTAGTCGGTGTGCAAAGATTTGTTAAGTGAATGAAAGAGACATGGAGTGGCGAGCAGGAAAAGGTCTGAGGTGGTCAAAGACTTCCTGCAGGAGGCAGGGCTGAGAGCAGGAAGTGCACCTCACCTGTGTGCTATGCCCAGCACCTGCCGGGGAGGGCCTGGCACGTTATGGACCTGGAGGGTTGCGTGTAGAACTCACACATTCACCCGTTCAGCGGGTGTTTATTGAGCACCTACTATGTTCCTTGCTCCTTGCTGGACATGGGATCCCACTATTAGTACAGTGGATCTGGACCCCGCCCCCAGGAGCTTAGAGTCTCTTTGGGGTGCAAGACAGCAAATGACCACAGCACAGAGCCATCTGGGCTTTGATGGGGGAGCTCAGAGGAGGGGCCCAGAGAAGTTTCCTGACCCAGTCAGGCATCCTGGGGGGCTTCCCAGAAGAGATGATACCCAAAGTGATTCCCAAAGGGCATGAAGGAGTCAGCAAGGTGAAGGGGGTGTGGAAGGGGAGCATATTTGGAGCAGAGGAAATAGCATCTACAAAGGTGGGGTGATACGAGGGAGTGGGGTGCACTGGAGAAACCAGCAAGGCCTGAGCATGGACAGGATTTGGTTGCAGCTGAGGAGGGATGGAAGGCAGGGCCATGGGAGGTGGCAGGCAAGGGTGCAGTGGAAAGGATCTTTGGGCATCAGACAATCCTGGATTTGAATCCTTAAGTGTCATTTCTCTTCTCTGAACCTCAGTTTTCCCCTCCCTAAGATGGGGATAATAATACCTTGCAGGTCTATAGTGAGGGTTACGGGACATGGGGACAAGTACCTCACACATTGCTTGGCAGATACTAGGGGACTGAAATGTAGTTCCTCTTTTTATTCCAGGTGGGAGAAACTATGGGCGCAACTGCCCAGAGGCAGGACTGTGCCCTGGGAGATAAGTAGGCCCCTGGTTAGGACACGCCCAGAGCTGGTGTGCACAGCAAGTGACTGTGGCCAGAGATGGCCAGGGCGGCCTTGACGTTAGACTTTACTGAGCTCATCAGAGATTCTCACCCTCCTCTCTCTCATGCCAGAATTTACAGCATCCAACCCCCTGAACATCACCAGGAAAGACACGAGAGGGCCACTTTGCTTGACAAGGACGTTTATCCCTTACGGCACTGACTTTCAAAAGTTATTTTGATAGCAGAACTTTTTTTCCAATTGCAAGCTGCCTCAGAACCCTGGGCAAGAGCAGAGCTGCTCTGGTGGAGGCAGAGATAGGGGGGCCTCCTGCCCCACCCCACAGGTAGGCCCCGAGGCGCTGCCCCATAAAGCTGCCAGCTGGCTTGAAAACTTCTGCCCTAGGGTGAGTTTTAAGGTCAGGGTGAATTTTATTGTTATTATTATTTTATTTATTTATTTATTTTGGAGACAGAGTCTCCTCTGTTGCCCAGGCTGGAGTGCAGTGGCACGATCTCTGCTCATAGCAACCTCTGCCTCTCTGCAACCTCCACCTCCCAGGTTCAAGCGATTCTCCTGCCTTGGCCTCTTCTGAGTAGCTGGGATTACAGGTGCACCACCATGCCTGGCTCATTTTTGTATTTTTTGGAGCAACAGGATTTCGTCATGTTGGCCAGGTTGGTCTTGAACTCCTGGCCCCAAGTGATCTGCCCACCTCACCTCCAAAGTGCTAGGATTACAAGTGTGAGCCACTGTACCCAGCTCAGGGTGAATTTTAAAGCCTGAAGCCCAAAGAGGCCCCTGGTGAGACAGGAGATGAGTAGCCCCAGAGCTGACAGCTCTATGCCCACCTGAGGGTGTAGGCTTTCTCGTGACCTGTTTCCACAGCCTGATCTTTAGTCACGTAGGCTCAGAAATATTCTTTCATCTGGTATCCCAGAAATAAGCAGGCTCCAAGGGAGTAGCCCTGCACCTGAAGTCACTCTGAACTGGATGCCCTTTTTTCACCAACACAGAAGTCTGGAACAGTCCTTATTTACAGCTGTCTGACCTTTGTGTCTCAGGGCCTACTCAGTAGTGTGGGGTGAGAGGATTTGGGGCCTGGGGCCAGCAAAGTGTGGCAGCCAGGAGTGTTTCTGGTTGGCTGTTTGAATCTTAGCTCTGCTGTGCACTGGTTGTGTGGCTTTGGGCAAGTGCTTAACATTTCTTTAGGTTGTAGTTTGTTCTACTGTAAAATTGGGGAATTACAGTCCTTTAGCATATAGGGTTGTTCTGAAGAACAACATGCAATGAAGAACTTAGAACAGGGCGTGGTGCATAGTGGGTGCTGTGTATGCGTGTGTCCTTTTTTTTTTTTTCCTATGAGACTGGATCTCTCTCTGTCACCCAGGCTGGAGCATAGTAGTGCAATCACAGCTCACTGAGGCCTCAACCTGCTGGGCTCAAGTGATCCTCCCACCTCAGCCTCCCGAGTTGCTGGGACTATAGGCATATGCCACCATGCCCAGCTAATTTTTGTGGTTTTTGTAGAGATGGGGTCTGGCCCTGTTGCCTAGGCTGGTCTTGAACTCCTGGGCTTAAGCAATCCTCCCACCTCAGCCTTCCAAAGTGCTGGGATTATACTATTTTTATTATTGTTATTATTCATACTGGCATAGCCAGCACATACATAGATTTGTGTGTTCATCCATTTTCCATTCAGCCAGTATTTGTTGGGTGTCTACTGTATACCAAGCCCTGTGCTATACCCCGGGGATACCATGGTGAACAATCCCGATGTGCTCTTATTGAGTGGGCTAAAGGGTGTGGGCCTCAGCAGAAAGCCCATGGGATGCCCTTGAAGAGTTTTTGGGTTTTGTTGTTGTTGTTGTTGTTGTTGTTTGTTTCTTTTGTTTGTTTTTCTGAGACGGACTCTTGCTCTGCTGCCCAGGCAGGCTGGGGTGCCGTGGGGTAATCTTGGCTCACTGCAACCTCTGCCTCCTGCGTTCAAATGATTCTCCTGCCTCAGCCTCCTGAGTAGCTGGGACTACAGGCGCCCGCCACCACACCTGGCTAATTTTTGTATTTTTAGTAGAGATGGGTTTCACCATGTTGGCCAGGCTGGTCTCAAACTCCTGAACTCAGGTGATCCACCTGCCTCAGCCTCCCAGAGTGCTGGGATTACAGGTGTGAGCCACTGTGCCCGGCCACCCTTGAAGGGTTTTGATCTGGCTCAAGTGAATTGGCCCTGGGGTTGGGGGAAGCAGTGGTAACAGGAAGACCAGTGAGGAGATGAGGAATGAGCTGGTGGGCCTCAGGCGGGAGGAAGTCAGAGCTAGAGACTAGGGGAAGGGCTAAAGAGCACCAGGGCTTGGTAACTGCCTAGGGTGGGAGATGCAGGAGAGGACAGAAGGGAGAGTGTTCCTCCTGTGTCTGGCTTGGGCACCTGGGTGATGGCAGTGACATTTATGGGGAGAACACTGGAGGAGGAGCTGGAGCATGAAGGATAGGCGGGGCTTGGCCTTGCCCTGCTGTGGGATAGCTGAGTGTGCTGAGCTGCACAGGAATAGTCACCACCGTCATCACAACAGCAGCAGCTGTCATTTGTTGATTTCACACCATGTGCGAGGAACTTTTCAAGTGTTACTTAACGTAATTCTCATAACAGTCCTTCATGGCCTGAGGATCACTGCCCAGTGTGAGACCTGGAGTCCCTAACACACAGGGCTGCAGCCAGGTGTGTCTGACTTAAGGCCCGTGCCCTTTCCAGCCCTCCAGCCAGGAACTTGGGAAGCCTGGAGTACATTGATGGAGTGGCATGCTGTGCCAGGGCCTTGTCCGAGCTTTCTGACTGTCTCCATCCTTGACTCCTCATGGCCACCCAATGAGGAAGGGACTGGTATTAGCCCCGTTTTTTCAAATGTACGATGAGACACCAGGGTTTCATGTCCAGGCCACATGGCTAGAGACTGGGAGAGCCAAGGTGGGCACCCCATCAGGGTGGCCCAGAGCTGGTGAGTGACTTCCAGATGGAAGACAGCCTGGGGCACCAGCATCCCGCCAGTCATCCCCGGGGCCAGGCACAGGGCTCCTTGGCCAGTCTTGAATTATGACCCATTTATTCCACCCAGTGGCCATGGCTGGCATTGGCCTTCTCCCTGCCATCACTGCCATGGTGTGAATTCAGGTCCCACCCCTCTCATCAGCCTCCTTACTGGCCTCCTGGCTTCCAGTCTCTCCACTCTCCAGCTTGTCCTCCAGCAGAACCTTTCTACAGTGCGAGTCTGATCTGTCACTTGTATGCTTTCACGGAAGCCCCTGAGGCCGTCAGGATAAAGCTTAGCCTTCAAGGACAGAGAAGATCTTAGGTCGGGGTCCCAGGAAGCTGACTCTGAGACGGAGACGTACAGGCAGGAGGTGTGATGGCGAGCCCCTGGAAACCTGCCCCATGCGGGAGGGAAGGAAGCAGGCTTGGGCAGAGGAATTGAGCTGTGCTGCAGTCACAACTGAGCCTTAGCCGCCCCACAGGCAGCTCTGGAGCTGGACTGGCCGTCAAGGACCTCCCCCTGTGGTAAGGGTGCCAGGCCTTTAAGCACCCACTGATACGTCACTGGACGTGGGCTGCTTTTGGGGAGTCAGGACTTTGGGTGAAGGGACACTCTTCTACTGACAGAGCTGAGAGCCGTCAGCCACCTACACCCTGAGTAGCTGAGGCAATGAGTGCCCCACTCCTGAAACAGAGTCTGGGTAGCCACCAT